AAAAAAGTGGTTTTGGTACAGACTGTAACACTTTTGTTTATTTCCAGTGCCTCCACCACCTGGACGTAGGCCTGCCCCGCCCCCAGCGCCTGATGATGATGATATGCCCCCACCCCCACCACCACCCAGACCACCTAAACCTGGGGAGAAACCAGCCATTGGGCACAGCAATAAACCCCCACCTGTCCCTGCAGTAAGTAGGATTATAATTATCCTGGATTATGCCACTGTTCATGAGATTTTTTAAACTTGGTTATTTTTTTCATTTATTCTCTTCTCGTGAAAAGAAATTGAAAAATTGAGGTGCTGTATTTCCTTTTCCCTATGAATTGTGTAAGAATTTTGATGAAAATTTGGCATGAGCCTTGTTATGCTAAAATGTATTGAGACTAATACTCGGGTATAAAAGTACACATGGAAGTACATATGGAAGGAAGGAGAGTAGGGTGAGGAAATAGCAAGTTATGACCTTAAAATTTCCCAATTTGTAAAAGTTACAGGTTGATAATGTGTGTGTCACTTTGTGTGTGCGTGCACATGTGCATGCACAATTATAGTAGTGGCAGCAGCAGGCTATAGTTAAAAAGAGGGGAAGATACACAGTCATAGAATTATTGGCAACAGTTAATCTTGTTGACTTTGCATGAATAAAGGAAATTAAATAAATTAACACCAGTTACATTGTGATTAGGACCATAATTACCCAGTCCAGTTAGAGCTGTTATTCCATATCATCATTCTTGATATCATACAGATGGCTATATACACTAGTTCAGTGATTTGATGCTATATATAGAATGTGATACCACTTTATATGTTTGATGCCCTGGAAAAGATTTGGCTAGTTATGAGACCTATGGGTAATGACAGGGTATTTATCATAAATCTATAGCTAGTAATGGTTCTTTTCAAACAATGCCTGCTTCATTCCCCTTAAACCTTGCCTAAATCTGATGGTTTTTGGTGTGTTATATAGGAATTATATTATTGAGTTGGATAAGATATCTTTTCCTTACTTTTTTGATAATTCTCACAGTGTGTTATCAGTATGAGTCACTATATGATAAGGTATGGGGACATAAGAGGAAAACTGACCACATCCAAATAGCTACTGGCATAAAAATAACTTGACAGAAATCATGTCATGTATGTCCTGCAATGCTATTGGCAGTCTAGTATACACTAGGTGAGTGCCACATTACCTTTAGGACAAGTCAGGCTACAAGTGATGAATGATAAATAAAGCAACAAGTGACCCGTACAAAGAAAGACAAATGATGACTGATATTGTAACATAACTTGGATTCTCTATTATGCACTATATAATATGTAATGTAAGAAAAGGTGTTGCTGTCATTTTTGTTTGTGAATAGTTATTATGAGAACCTCTGAAATAGGTGAAAATATACCACAAGTATGGAAGTGTTATAATGGCTAAATAGCAGCTCAGTTGTCCTCTCATGACAGATTATTTCCCTTGGGCCTGTCAGCCTCGCATAATAGCTTGTCATTGGAGACAGTTGAATTGCTTTTTCATAACAAACCCAGTTTATAACTGTATAATAACGTGATATGGTATGGCATAAGATATAATGATATGATCAATAGTTATCCATGTATATATCTTTTAATTTTCAGAAGAATGCTGAACCAACTGAAGACTATGAAGTTCCAGAGAATCCCCACATGCAGAACAAAGATATACCACCACCTCTGCCCCCAAACCACCCCAAGCCAAGTCATGGTATGTGACTCATGGTTGAAAACATATGCAAGTGGTATATATCTGTTAATCGGGGGTTAGAAATTTGCCTGAAAGATTTTTTTTTTTTGGATATTTTACAATTTGATTAGGGAATAAATGTAGTATTATTGAGAGATGTTCTAAATTGGGCTTAAGATAACATTTCTGGATTGTTTTCCTGTGATGTTTACATTTTCTTGAAAAGAGTAGACATTTATATACAAATATTAATTTCAATATTTCATTATGTATTACAAATTTGGAATATTGGTAAATGAAAACATCAATCACATGTTAAATCTGATGGGATACATAAACTTATTCAGTATACTAAAATTTCTTATATTCTATTTAATATATTTTTGAATGTTACTTATTTTTAGGTCAAGACAGTTCAGATGTAAGTACACAGCAAAAATCTATTAAGATGAGGGTTTTTGTGACGTCTGGCAGACCAAGTTAAAAATATAGCATGGACCAAATTAATGTCAAAATTACAAAATTCGAACCCTTGGCACAGTAGGGTTATATTATAAAGTGCTTTAAATGATTAAAACTTATTCCAATATGGTATTAAATATATGTACTGATTATTTGTAATGGATTTATCATTGATGAGAATTTAAGAAAATAATGTTTGCAATACTCATATTGAAAGAATTACTTATTAAAAATCCTTTTTTAATATTTCAGGATGAATATGAAACACCTCAAACAGGTCAGTTAACTTAACCAATTGTTTTTGAGTAAATTTAAACATACAGAAAAATAGCCAACAGGTAAATTAGATTAAAGAGTCTTGATGCAGATTCATATTAATGTGATGTGAAGCAGCTACCTATATTTATTCAAAGGTTTTTATTTTATTTTTAATTTTTTTTTGCAGATTCTGGTGGCTCATTGCATGAAATCAAACCCAAAATTACTGCAAAAAGTCCTCTACCACCGCTGCCAAAGGAAGCCAAATCACCCCAAGGACTTACCAAACCTAAACCTAAGCCAGCAGAAAAGAAAGTACCCCCTGTTCCCAGTTTTAAACCTCAACCTGTAACTAATAAACCAGCTATAGTACCCAAACCACAGGCAATTAATAGGACAAAAAATACACAAAATAAAATACCAATTCCGAAGGAGACTGAAAATGACAGTAAAGATATAAGTCTTGCAAAGGAAAAGGCAGGAGGTATAGCAGCAAGGATAGCAGCCCTGCAGAAAAATGCTGGGGCAGCAGACGTTCCTGTTCCCGTGCCAGGAAAGTTGCCCAAACCTAAGCCAAGTAGTAACAGTGTGTCTACTGGTGTGTCAAGAACCCAATCAAATGCTGACGAAAGTAGTTCTTCCTCCCCTGTCAGCAAAAGGTCACAATCTCCAGAAACTGTAGAAAAGAAGCAGCACAAACCACCTAAAGGTGGAGCAAAAGGTGAACCTCTCAACCATGGCGTTGAATTTTAGTGAGGCTTCCGTATCTAATTGGGTGTAGCAAAGTGCTAAACTTGTAACATTCTTATTTAATAAATTTCTGTTTGCTTGCATGTTAAGTCTCTGATTATAGGTTGGATAACCTTATGCTACAGTAGTACTAGTAGGTCACATTTGTATTCCTAATCTCCTTTTTTAAGATTCAACACCTTAGTGTGGAATATTGGTTCATTTTTCAACTTTTGCTGGATTGAAACAAGTTTAGGAAATCATCTTGACGTAGATTCCAAATCTTCTTATACATAATAAGGTTGCCCTATAATCATTTTCAGTAGTAGAACAATCAGATTTAGGACTTTGAAAGCTTGCTATAATGTATGTCATGATATATATACTCCTTGTGTATTTCTTACTGTTAAATAAATGTGGAAGAAAAATTGAGCTAAAATGACATGTATAACATTGTTATCTTCTGTTCTGCAGCCCTGCCTCCCATTCCTAAAGCTGAAGAGCCAGAGGACACCCCACCACCTCCTCCAAGTGTAGCTACCATACCACATAAAAAAGGTACAGTAAGTCACCTTTCTGAATTACCCGATTTATCAAAATGTACAACATGGTTGATCAAAGATAAAGCAACATTTATTTCATAAAATTTGCACCAATGGAATCTGGTGAAAATATACAGATCTAATATGACACTCAGTGGCAGTATAAAGGTAGATGGGTATAGGAAATGTATGAAGTGTGATTGAAATACAAAGAGACCACTAGTATATGTGAATAGTTGTGAACACAATTTCAACTTACCCACCATATTTTATGCAGCACTATCTTTTCTGTTTGGGAAATACAATAAAATGCAGTATGAGGCTTGAGCAAGAATGATTTCACAAAACTGATTTCAACAACTTTGTTACAAATAATTTGAATTGTGTAATGGAATGTGAAAATTGGACACAAATAAGTTGTATGTGGTTATATAGTCAAGACAGTGAGATTGTGAGTTGTTACTTTCCCTTTACTGCATTTTCATTATAAACATTATTTGTTTGTGAAACACTTTAACTTTTATGAGGGAAGTTTTTAATTTATGATTGGGTAATGTGGCCACAAAGATTTATTCAGATTGTTTTAGTGGATTTTTAGATCATAGACAAAACAAAGTGGCAGTCAACCATAGTTTAGATTAGTGATTGCATTTGTTGTGCAGTTCAAAGGGAAGTAATTGTGTTGTAGGTCTGCGTCAAAAAGTTGCTGATGCTTCAGTGTTGTGCTCTATGTAAATTGATTATTATCTCTGCCAATGAAGGGGGTATGTTTTCATAGGCATGGGTTTGTCTATTTGTTAGTGGTCAAGATGTCCCCAAAATTGTGCACAAATTATGAGTTATTTTCAAGATGGACAGTTATTCAAGAGGGGAAAAGGTCATTACAATTTCAAATGAATCTAGGTCTTATAATTTAAAAAGGGATGGAATTTTATTGTTTTTTTTTTCTCCTTGACAGAGGTCTCAACTCTTTTGTTTGATTTTTACCTCTAGTATTGAGTGCAGGGTGATATCTGCCAGATGAGTGTCCTATGATTGACCACCTTGTAATACTTGTGATGTTGTGGTTATTTGTTAGTGTGGAAAGGTATATAGAATTGCTGCCAGGAAATATATAAATAAATTTGAGATGAGATCCCAAAAACCTTGAAACAGATTTGAAATCTCTCCCCCTGCAATTAAGTACTTTTTCTATTACACATAGCCATCATTGGACTAACAGATTGGCCTTTACTTGTCCTAAAACCATGACTAAATTTTTCCTTTTTGTGACAATTTTATGCCCATGCAATTTATATCAAGATATAATATTTGTACACTTTTTCAGGCTAGATGTTGAATTTTATTTTTATTTAGTCATCTAGAATTAAAGAAGATTGATTGCCAATAACAGCAGTTACATTAAGTTCAATTAGATTCTCACTCTGTAACCGAGTGTTTTAACAGAAGATTAAAATCTGTAGTGATCAGTACATGCTGCAATTTGATTTCATCTGGGGAGCTATCATTGGTAATTAGAGACTTGGAAAAGATGCTAGAGTCTTATCACATTTTCTCTATTATTGATTTTGTTTATACCCTTTAAAGACTATTCCTTTGTGATATGAGATCACAGGTCTGACTCATCCAAGGGAAATATAAAAGGAAGATTAAATCTTGTTCAAATTTCTGAAATTCGAGTAATATAATTGCAGGACTAAATGTTGACAGAAATTATCATCTTGAATAGGAATAAATCTAATATAATTGCCAATTAGTGCACAATCTGTGGAGCAAATAAAAAGTTCATAATAGAGTCAACACATTTATTGACCAGAGTTATATCTTCAGAGATATGCACCATCTGCTGGCAGGGCAAAAAATGCTCATAAAACTCTAGGACCTGACTCAGGGCTGCCATTTGCTGTCATCTTCTCAGTAATTTACTGCAGGGTTTTTCCTGACCTGCCAAAATATTTCACAGTTAACTGTGTTTTATATTTTATAACTGAGAGCTCCTATAAATAGAGAGAGGGTTATGTGGAATGGCAGTAGATAGTTATCAGAGGAGAAGAGGAAGAAAAGGTAGGCTGTGAGATTCGGTCATCTTTTTAATATGTGAATATAGTTAGTACCAGGCTAATTCAGCACAAATGTTGAGTTTATCTGGTTGGGGTAGCCATTGTGGTGTAGAAAGTTTTTAATGACCCAGGAGTGAAAATGCAGTCCAAGGCTAAAAATTGTAGGATCTTAGAGCCTTGAATCAAGGAGACAGTTTCTAGTTTTTTTTTAAACATAACTATCTAGGTGGAATAATTGAAATTGTGCAGTATCAGGTGAAGTAGAATTAAACAATTTTACATCTTAGTATCTAGATTGTCAAACTGCTTCTTTCAAAAGAGGAGTATATGTTTAAATAATACATTATTGTAGCTTAGGGATGGCTGGATTATTTTTGTTCAGAGAAATGTATATTGATTTCTTTGATCATTAGCAGCATATGAACAACAGTGGAAGGTCATAGTATGTTTGAAGATTTATAAGTATCTAATAATACAAGGAAGTGTGTGTGTATCAGGGTGTGTGTACATGTAATTTATTTGAAATTTTATTCGTCATCTTAGTTCTTATTTAATTGAAATTATATAAAGTAAGGTTATGATTTGGTTTTCAAATTCTTGCATTCTCTGTTGTAAAAAAAGAAAACATCCAACTTCTCAGGAATATCAATTGACATGTATATATACACCACTTCAACTATACTAAATATCAAATGATTTGTTAAATCGTGAGATGAAATTCTTTGGGAAGTGAGAAGGAAAAGAAAGGGAAGGTCAATATTTTGTGCAGTGGAAAAATGAGTCATATTTAACAGATGTTACTGGTATATAGCTTAATGGTGATTCTAATTAAAAAGTGCATATTATTGTAGAGAACTTTTAAGTCTGTGACTTTGCGTTAATGTATCAATATTAGTTAAAGGCAATTAAATGACTTAGAGTACTGCTTAAAAAAAATTTTTTTTTTTGTTCTTATTGGGCCAAAATCCTTTTTTTACTGTATTCTCAGTATGATCATTTGTTTTTTAACATGTAAAGATTTTTAGGTTATATATTAAAATGATTAATGTTACTACTTGTGGCGGATTTTAATTGCGAATCTTTCAGATCGCACACCAATTGCAAGTAAGAGTCCGTCATTCAACCCAGGTTCTCGTCCTCTGCCTCCACCACCAGGGGGCAGTCAAAGCATGGTAAGCACAACTGGTTGTCATCACAAAGTAATTTGTGTAATTTGAGAGTTGATTACCTGTTGTTATTGACTATGTCACATATATGTGTATTTAAATAAAAATTTTAACCATTTGTGGCATAAACAGTTGCCCCACCTCAAATGCCTATAAAATTGTAGCCCAGTAAAATTTTGAAAATTTGTATAGATACCAAGCTCTATTGCTGCTTTAGGCCTTTTTGATTCATAGCCATTGGCACAAAGAGCCAGTAAGCTTAACTAAATTCACCAACTGATTTGTTATGTACATTATATGCAGTCTAGATATTACATCATAAATGAACGGAAAATAAAAATTCTGGGATGTGTTCTGATTTGTGTGTAGTCTGTAATTAATTACCTATGGGTAACTGTTGCCGTGACCGTACCGTTTACAGGGGCGGATCCAGAGATATTTTCTGACAGTCTTCCAAACTATCTTTGTTGATCCAACCTCCATTTTTAACCGTCTTCCGACAGAAAAAATAGATACCCGTCAATGTAAACTTGAAAATCTGACCGTCTTCCGGAAGACCCAGAAGACGGCCTAAATCTGCCAGAACAACTCGGAAACTGTCTTGGAGTATATAATGTGTTTTTACTGCATAAATAAATGTGAACAGAAACTAAATTAAGTTGATTTGAACTGAGTAAAACTGAAACTGATAAAAACTAATGAAAACATAAAACTATATGATCCCGGAGATCCGTGTTGCTGAAACTGAAAATGTAAGGGCGGGATCTCAAATTTATACATGAGTGTCATGTGACACGAACACATCTCACTGACTACTCTCACTTGTCACTACTACACATGTTGCAGTTACAGTAACAATTCATCATGGTGAGACAGATATTTAACAAAAAGTGTGACGTTTTATTTGTCATATATCTGGACATATTCTATTTATAATTATCATTATTTTATCTTTAGGATGAAGAGAACATTGAAGCAGAGTCATGGTATCATGGGGACATCTCTAGAGACGTGTCAGACCAGCGCCTTAAATCTCTAGGAACTGTAAGTGTAGTACACCTACACCTGGTAATAATAATAATAATAACCAGATCTTCTTAACCATCCTTCACCAGCTGTGTGTCCACTATTGAGATTTTAAACCTAGGATTTTTATACATAGTAATCCACTAGATTTACCAGTTATACATTGTCAGGTTATACTACGAAATACTTGGTACAGACAAAATGAAACTTCATTATTTAAAGCATCAGTCTTTTCTAAAATTTGTTATAAATTTCGATGTTTTATAAGTCAAATAGGATTGGTTGCAGTCAGTTTGAGTGGAGTAATATTCAGATGTGAACAAGTTGGATTTGTGACAATTTGCCATTATTTATTGCATCTTTAGATTAAAATGTTTTTTTTTAATCAAATGATACGATATACTTTGTAGTTTTGGCATAGAAATTCTTCATTATGTATTCAAACAAAAAATACTTGTAAGATAACATTCAACTTACAAATTTGATTGTCAAGGTCATTCAAATGATAGAATTAAAGCAGCCCACATGTACACATACACATAACGCATTTCTTCATGGCATACAGAATATTTATCCAATCATAAATTCAGTTAACATATTTATTTTTTACAAATTTGCCTAGGTTCAAAATTTTGATTTCAATTAAATGTTGCAGGATTTTTATATAATTTGACTAAGTAAGCCTTTAAATACTCAGAACATGTAGAAATTATATATTTTGTTTAATTTTTTAGAATGGATCTTTTCTGGTGCGCCTCAGCAAGAAAGGTGGACCTACTAGTCCATATTCTTTATCTCTGTTCCATGAAGGAAGGGTTTGGAATCTTCACATCAGAAAGAAGGCTGATGCATCTTTTGCATTAGGCAATGAAAAACCTAATGAATTGGTGAGAACCTCATGCCTCAGTTTTGAAATTTACACACTTATCTTCAGTTTAAATTAATATAGTGCCTTACACTTTTAACAAGTAAGTAGAAAATATTCAAATTTGGCGAGGACTTTGAAATACAACTATTAAACAATTGGATAATTTTATTGTTCAAAGAGGAACAGTTTTAGATATTGGTAATTTGTTATTGTTTGAAAATTGAAAACTAACATATCCGACTCGGTAGAAGTGTTCGTATTTTTTTAGCATAATCAATCAATGGATTCTAAACACTACTGGAAGCACTTTCAACCACTGTAACGGTGTTAAATTGTTTATTATTTCAGAGCTTTCCGTCAGTCTCAGAACTAATCAGTTATCACCAGACTAATCCCCTGGTTTTAGCAGGTGCTCAGAGTGGTCAGACACAGCTCAGGAACACTCCAGACAAGTCATAGCATTAGCTATAATGACTGGACTGACACTTTGTCTGAACTTGTATAGATTGACTCAGAAAAAATATCATGTATGGAACAGGCTCAAAAAAATTGTTTTTTTTTTAATATCATAATATCCGGATAAAAATATGGAGCCATCACTTAATTTTATAATTAAATTGATAATTGCTTTGTCCCTGTATGTTTGATATTTAAATATGATATCATGGCATTTTCTATGCACAAAATAAAAGACAGGTATGTATATTAATAGATTTACAAGATGTGAATATATAACATATTAAGCTACTATATTTCCAACACACCAAGTTCTTGTTAAATCACATGAAAATAATGCAGTTAGCCAACACTTTGATCGACTGTTTGTTTTACAGTTTTAAAGCATTTTTTAATTAAATCCCATATGAAAATGTTACATCAGCATCTCAGAATGCAGTAGGCTACCATTCTTTGATAAATAACAAATCACTGAAATAAATCAGAAGGGATTTATATCAAGTGTAAAAAAAAATCTGTGAAAAATTATTAATTTGCATAATTTTATTTATTTGTCTTTATCTGCTTGATGTCCATGTTATTTTTAAACCAATACAAAGTGTAATATTTTAGTATAGCCTTTGGATTAAATAAATGCTTGAAAAAGAACATATTCTTAACAGTAATCAGCCCATAAATAATAGTACCTGTATGTATATTTGAGCATTTCATAATTAGTTTAACTGTATATAACAAGCAAGGAGAGTAATTGATCAAACTGGACCTGCATTAAAACTGGTTTATTGTGAAGTAGTAGGTAGGGACACTAGTGCATATATTGTCTAAGCATATGGACAAAATGTGAAAAACTTATGTACCCACATTTATACAGACGTGTCTATACTCGTCCTTACATATGTATATAATCATTTATTATATACCATTTGACTAATCCTTAGTCAATTTATTTTTAAACAATTGTCATACTTTCTATAATTGCAAAGCAATTGAATTTTTATTGAAGTAAAAATCATGGCTTTGTTGAAGATGGTCACAGTCTACTTGTTAATCTTGCTAATGTATTATCTAAGTTAAAATGCAAATGTTAAGGTTGTGGCATTTTCAGGTGAGACATTCTTATCAAAAATGGATTCAAAATAACCACTCTATGATATTAATAGTTTTACTTTGGCAAATTATTGAATCAAAACTAGACACTGTTAAGTTGAACTGTTTTAAAATTTCAGCATAAAAGCTAAGGTATTGGCCCATATTAATGTAACATAGAAAAAATAGATATTGAATGTATCCTGGGGCATTTTCCTTAATGCCCCTTGTCAACTAATTTATGGTTCAATCATGATGACCTGGAATAACAATATCCATCAAGACTTTTTGTCCTGATATTAACAAATAATAAAATGCAAATGTTATAAGCATTCACATATTTCACTCGTATAATTCTAAGCAATTATGCATTTATTTTGATAGAGAAACAATTGACTCCTGTGCCTTTAGATCCAATATGCCTTTTTTTTTGTTTGTTTAATGATGTAATTGTGAGTGTATACTATTTGTTTCAGTCTCCTTTCCTTATATAATGGGCAGTTGTTTTCATATTATCAGTATTATTTTAACAGGTTTATTTGCCTGTATTGTTTCTCATATGTAGAAGAAATACAATCTTTTGTATATTCTTCCAAGTTCATCTTTCACACTTGTATATCAGTATGTATATATATTTCAGTTTTACCAAGGTGAAAGTGCTTTACAATATAATGTTATCAAGTTAGAATTTATCCATTATAAATCCAGCTTTACTGATAATTATTTACATCCAAATAAATCTTCATATTGCATTGGAGGTTGGAGATTGCAACCACTTTAATGTAGTATTTTAGGTTTACTTGTTACATTGAATATCATGATCTATAAATCCATTTAGGATGCCACCAATTATTCAGCAAGCATCTCTCAGCACCAGTGTGGGTAATATTATCATCACAAGAGCACATTAATGTGAATATGAACATTTTTTGTTTTAAAAGGCAGAAGCTACCTTGCCATTTTTTCCTGCATGCTCTTTTAAACTAGTTTTGCAATATGGTGTTAGAGCATTTTATGTAGAACAAATCTGAGGTTGCTGAGCAACTTTGTATTGACACCATGCCTGTGATGATTTAAAGCAACATCATAATTCCAAGTATTCTGTAATTAAATTTAGTAGTAGTCTTAATACAAGTCACATTTTAATAGATACTTGAGATAGTAATAGTAGTAACAGTCTAAAAGGTGTTTGAAATGTTTAAGTTGATCATCAAATACCGGTTATTTTTAGATCACACCGCTGGTGTTTACTTATTATATTTGCATTTTTGTGATCAATTCATGGAATCTAAGTTATAGCTTCCAACATCAGTTCCTATATATATATGTACATCAGATTAGTTGATGAAACCCAAAATGTTTACAAGAATTTCAATGCATTATATGTACAACATATTTCGTCTTACTATTCTTGTTATTATATTCATATTACCTCTCAAATATTCTTACAACTTGAATATTAAAAAAGTATAAATACAAATTATGGCTATTTGCTGCAAGTCTGACACACATTGTGGAACCTAAATGTAAAAGCTTTTTATTTCTATAGGCCTCCTTGGTCTTACCATTAAAAACATGAAAATTACAAAAAATAATCAGCAAAGAAAATTAGTACATGCTTTTTCAATAACAGTAAAAGAAACACTTTATAGTTTTCTTCTTTTATTCTGAATAGATTATCATTTAACATTGCACAACTGCATGACAAGAAAATTAGACAAAAATTAATTTTCCACCATTAAGTTCTTATTTCAAAACATATTCCCAGGATGAATTATTCTAGTTGGTTCAAAATGATTACAGAACCACTGAGGGGTGTCTGCATTTGAGCCAGTTTCGCATAATTAACAAACTTCACATTCTGCTTTCAAACAGAAGCTTATTTCAGAAAAAAAGATTCATGGTTTTTCAAACAAAATGGTTTACCCCAATATGTTTATTTTTTAAACATGATATAACAACTGAGCGCTTTAAATGTAGTTACTACTAGAACTGTACCATTAGCACTGCAAGATTACATGCAAGTCTGGTTTTCCTCGTGTCTAGACAACTTGTTCTTTATCTCAAAAGGTTGTGACACTGAAGCAATAGCACGTGCCAGCAGGCACATTGCTGCAATTGTTAACTAACAACCATGTGACTTTGTGCCATAATATCGGTGGGTGGACTGCTGTCTCTGAGGACATTTAAGTAAGAATATCCGACACCCAGTAACTGCTTTTTGTTAAGTTTAAGTGACTAATCAACCAAACCAAAAAATTACTTGTCTCAGTGTGGCAAAGCACCGTGCGCATGATATATACATTCTGTTCATTAGTACTTTCTGTATTTGTAAACCTATATGTTATCAGCCAAAGAGTTCTGAAAGGGCATCTTCAAGCATGTAAATTAGCTTTCTTTGGTGTCTACCCACACATTATAGGACATACCCCATCACTTTTCCCTGATTGCCAACTTGGATTATTTTTAAGTGTCTACTAACACTGGTTGTAGGCATAACCAGTGATGATAAATGATGGTTATGTAACAATATATGTATGTATATACCGGTATGTGTAAGTTGCCTGTGAAATAGAACAACTGTGAGCATTTGTGAAAATAGCAAGTTATGTGAGCTAAAAAGCCTGATATTTATATGTGTGCACAGTGTAGTTTTAGTATAAATCATTACCTTGCACCTCTGGATAAAGCAAACTAATACATACATCTCTGAAACTCTGAATAAATGCTTGAATAAATGCTTAAATATGGAAAGCTAACAGCTTTACTGAATAATAACTATTGCCAAAAGCAGCACATAATGACAATACCATGAACTGTATTTCTTTCAAAGAAGATCAAAATCTACTGCTAAACAGTATTCTGCCATTTAGAAAATTTAACACCAAAAATATTTTGATCAAAAATAAATATCATGACAATCAACATGAAAGCTGGTTTACTAATGTACATATATTCAATATGATCACAATTGTTTTAGGGTCATTACAGTCACATTTTGTGTAATAATTTCATAATTTTGACTTGTTCCATTATCCTCCATTTCATACTTTAGTGCCCTCCAATAATGGAAAGAAATCAACAGTAATTAAAATGTGACATAAAACAGTTATGTACATAACTCCCACATTTTTTCTGTTTTTCATATATTTATAGATATGAAAATCTTGATAAGTGTGGACTTTCAAACAGGCAATTTCCAACAGTCATATGTCTCATCTCTTCTAGTACCTCTTAAAAAATAAAATATACATTTCATTCATTTATATAATTATACAGAAGATATTTCTTAGATAGCACAGAAATAATCTTTATGAATTCAGTCATTTACAAAAAGATTTCATTATCAAATTTGCCCAAAAATGATTATTATAATAAAATAACTAAACAACCAGATGCAAGTGAAGTTTGAATATCAAGATGCATAGTCTCTTCATAAAAATTACACGATTAGTTTAAAGCAATCACCATAACTACGTAGCTGCCAGTTCAACCCCCCCCATCCCTGCCCCACTACAATTTTACCACCATTGCACAGTTTATATGCACCAACCATTTTTCTTAATTATGCATTTCATCTAAAATATACTTCTCTGCCAATTAAGTTTTAAATTTTAAAATCCATCTAGCATGAAATATCACAAATCAGTAAACATGTGTGTGCGTTTATGCATCAGTCCTTAGAAGTCATAGATATGGGTGCTAGATGCAGGCTATGCACACCAAAGTGGAACTTAATGACCCAATATGAAAGGACAAAATTGTGACCACAATGGGTAAATAGCACCCCCTATATCTCGTTATAAAGAAGCAATTAAAGGTATGCTTGGTGGGATCTACTTAATAAAGGAATATATAGGCAAAAGTGTCTGCACACTTGTTATTTATACATACATATAATTTATATATCTTCCAATTTCATCACAGCTGTAATTTCATTGCACTTATGGCAGTGACTTTACCATAAAAGTGACAGAAGGTAAGGCTTAAATTATGTTACAGAGCTAGCTGTTTCCATGATGTGGCAGCCAAACTTTAACACCTCTTCAGGAAAATAATCTCTACTTGCTGGACAATCTTCTACTTTCATTAACCTGCCTTCCTGGGCAATATACACTATACATACCACATACAATATAATATCACCTCTTTTCTTTGTTAAAATAAAACAAAACAAACTCCCCATGGGACCTTACTCCTGGAAGACAACTCCAATGTGGGAACATCATTGTAAAATGAGAATTGAAGAAAGTCTTCATGTTTAAAACATAATAATAGCCTCGCAACATCCTCCTCATTCAAAATGAGACAAACTGTAAAGATCTACAGAGAGTAAGGTGAAGACTAGGATATAATATCTCACAAAGTTGAGCTGATAATGAATGTTTTTGTTCCCTATTTCTTGACAAAAGAGAATCCATGTTATCTTTCATAAATCTCGTTTTCTCTGAATCTATTCGCAGACTAATGTTACTGTCAACATGGCTCCTATTCCTGCTATTAGACACAGTATTTGCTTCAAGGATTCCCTGAAAACAAACATATGCAAAGATAGATTACTCCCTAATCAGACAACTTATAGCATTACTATATCATCCAAGCTGAAAATCATCAAAGAAATTTAAATTAAAAAGGTGGTAATACTTAGAATGTTGATGAATTGATTGATAAGTTAATAAAAGTATAACTACAAAATTTCCCAAACTTAAGGAAGCCAAATGATAAGTTTGAAACAGAGAATTTTCTCTTCAAAAATAAAATAATAAATATCCCTTCACACACTCTTGCTAAGCTTTCCATGGAGCTCATGCACATGTCAATCTAGATAATTCCTTCACAAGACTTGGGTAAAAAATAAATTCATTACCACAGAGTAACATAAACAGTCATTCTGATTATATATCTTTTAAAAAGTAAATAAATATGTCTACCATGGATGCCTCTCTTCCAGTAGATCAGGCACTACTGTGACCAGTGCAATATAGATGAAGCCGCCAGAGGTGAAGGGCAGTATCCAGGCCGTGCTGTTACCAGCTGTCTCTGCTGACTCCGCCAATAGTGCCGTCATAGCACCAACCACACCACCAGATGCTGTGAGGAGCTTGAAAAAATTAATATAAGGATTTTTTATTATATAAACATGAAATAAATCCAGCAAAAGTTTTTTTTTTATTTCTTTATACTTACTCAGTATGCAACATCTTTTAACAGTAAAACTATCACTAATATGTCAGTCAAATAATAAAAGTTGACATATTTTTTTCACATTAAATCTACATGTGAAACAGGCAATATTTGCACAGTAAGCTAGAGGCATATACAACATGCAGAGGCAGGGCAGTGCTCAGTGAATCATAAAAATATAATAATCACGGAGACAGGAAATAACTTATGCTGCATGTAATTACAATCAATTTCCCCACTTAAATTTCAGAGATCAGCACAGTATAATGACAATAATGAAGACAGAATTTTATATGATGTCCACACTGTATAGCTACGCTGGTGATAAAATATTACTTTACTACTTGATATTGTGCTATTTGGATCTTTTTCAGTTTCAAAACTAGGAGCCGACACTCCTTCTTTAAAATGAACAACATATGTTGGTCTAGGCACCGTTACCCAAAAAACCTTCACAAATGATTAACCTACTTTAATGTAGACAGCTTGACAAAGTTAACTCTTTTAATCCCTGTGAAAACAGAAACCAGGGTCAATAAAACATGTTTTGATCTTGAGGTAAAGGTTTTTAAACAGGGAAAGTGGTCAGCTATAGCTAGGACACTTCCTTGGCTTTGTTTGACCAGTTTGTACCAGAAACCCTTGGTGTGCCATCACTGCCAGCCATCAGGGTCTAACACCCCATTTCCATAGATTAGGTCAACCTACTTTAGATCGACCTAACTCCCTGGGGGTTCACGCTAAATAGCTGTCAGCCGGGCGGACACGAAAGTTAATTACCACTTGCAGCTTGTAGTAGGCGGGGACGGACACTTAAGGGGGATTATCTGACAGTAATCTGGTGAGACTCCCCGCGGTGATAGATCGATCTAAAGTTGTGGGAATAGACCCTAAGAGTCTACTGACCCAAAGCAGGAACAGTAGCCAGTNCCCTAAGAGTCTACTGACCCAAAGCAGGAACAGTAGCCAGTAACTGATTTGGAAAACATTACTGCCACCTTACCTGTGCTTTAGCAGCCTTCCACCTGTCAAAGCCAGACCTTAACAAGATGGCAAAGTCCCCCACCTCATGTGGGATCTCATGTACCAGTATAGCCACTGTAGTGATCAAACCAACCTGAAACACAGAAAACATTATGTTGAACTTACATCCAACAACTGAATGTATTTTATTTAACAATATTATGCTGTGCAGGCATTTGGTTAAAGAAAGTTATAAATGCAGATATGAGAGCAAAATGAGTTACATAATGAAGTGTGAAGAGGTACTTAAGAATATCTTCTAATATGATTAATATTTGCAAATAAATATAACAATGACAAAAAAAAAAGAAAAAAAAAAAGCTAACTCATAATATATTCTCAACTCGGTCATTTTACTTTACTGGTTCAAAGTAAATAACTATGGCAGTAAACAACTAAATCCAGTAAATAAACTTGTTTTCTTCCTACACACAGAGAGATTGGGAAACATGATGCTATCTTACTTGGAAATCATGTCTAATCAAATATGTCAGCAAATATTTATTTTAACCAATAGAAGTAGTCATACAAAGGTTGTTGTCAACAGCCAACACAAAATATAACCTGCTAGACTAAATTAAAGCTAAGAGGAGAAGTTCAAATTTGAAAGAGATCAAGTTCCCAGCTTTGCATTATTCTTGAAACATGTGATACACATATTTAGTTCCCAATTTGCATATGAAAAGGGGGTAGCAGTCCCCAAAACTATTTCTTTTAATTGTTACAGTTGGAAATCTATGCAAATAACTAAGTGCACATGAACCAATGACCATTCAATCAAAACAAGATTCAGAATTGGTACTAGGACAGATGTACCTAAGTGTCAACATCCTCTCAATTACACTGACATACATACGGTAATGTGCCATGAATTTCGAACAGTAGAAAATAATTAAATTTGGGAAAAGATCGATCTGGCCGAAATTCATGAAATGGAGGTGCTCAGAACTTTCAAACGTTCGAATTTCATGGAATTCTGTCAATTTTGACCGGAAGTTGTCTGTTTGTCGCTAGGCCTTCTGTTATCTTCTCCCGACGATCTATTTAGAGTTACCATAATGTATGATGTGTGAGTGTCGGTAATTGCGACCAAAGGTGTACACGTACTTTCACCCGATCACTGTGTATGGCCCATAGATAGAGTTGTACTGTTGTCTAGGGCCGCAAAACATCGTTATCAGTAGTGTCATTTTTCAAAAGCGATTCTGGCAGCCAGAAACTAGTGTCGTTTTTCAAAAACGATCCTGGCGCTCAGAACGGGAGTGGACGGAGGGAGAGACGGCCGACGATTAGCGTCTGCCACGGCCAGATTACCTTTACTATGGAAGCTTAGTGTTACCGTTGCTCCTTTCCGTGCACTGAAACCGAGACGACAGCCGATCAGTGTCTATGGCACACGTGCAGGTAGCCTTCATCTGCGACAAGTGTCTTCCGCTACCAGGTTCGTTGCCTTTACCGTTAAAGTCGGGCGGAGCTTTACGCGCGAATGCGTGCACGTTTTGTCATTGAAACCATTTCAAACAAACGCGAGAGATACCTGTAGGTAATCTAGAGTAAACCGAAAAGGCAGTTTTTATATTCGTTCAAGGGACTGGAAGTTCGTCAATGGGAGATAGTGAGCGATCTGAGCGCGACAATAAGCCAATTTCCACACTAGTTCAAGGGACTTCGTTACTATACTGTATTCGTCAGNTAGAACAAAGATATTCAAATGATCAGTGATAACCTTAAAGTGAATGAAGAATGATGAAAAAGGGGTGATTGAATCTGTAGCAATAAATTAATTAATTTAGGTGGACTGAAATGCACATTTGGTGATTCTTTTGAGTTAACAGGACTGAAGTGGAGTGGTGCAGTTAGCACTAAGTTACCCAGAAGTTAATACAGCCAAAATATCACATTGCCCTTTTTGAAATGGTAATAATTATTGTTCCTATTATACAGGTTAGAATGACAAATTTGTCAGAAGGGCCATTCTATCATGGTTCTATATTTTGGGTGATTTGATTGCCTATTTCAACTGCAACACAGATTTTTTAACGTAACCGCAAGTTTTTAAGGAAAAAATCAGCAATTCTTTATACAGCAGTTCTTTTTTTAATTTTCATTTATTCGAATGAAGAGCTAATGAGCATACTGAGGGCTTGTGTGTTGATTTTTCTTTTCAGAGAGAATAGCGGTGCTCAGATTTGGAAGTCTTCCCGCCTCATTGCACAGGGCCACACGGAGGACTCCACAGATGGTCTCCATATAGGGAAGGTCCCCCTGGAGTGGGTAAGGAGCACGGCTAACTCTTAAAGAGATTACAATGGTTTTGATAAAATAAATGGATATTCCTGGCGTAAACAATGTTTTTCCTGTACTTACCAATGGTTAATGAATTATTTCTGTTGTGGATCGTGTGTATGTGAGACAGAGCATGTCTGGTTCTTTTGTTCTGGCCCTCTGTTATGGTTTAAACCTCATAACATTTGCATTCTGTGTCATCAAGAGATAAAAAAATGATAAATTAAATGATAGATAACGAACTGAACTTTAGAAAGTAAAAAGGTAGAAAATAGAACAATGCAGTCTTTGTTAGCCAAAACAAAATAAAAATTTGACATTTGTCATATGTTATATTGCAAACCTGGAGCTCATTTGAATTGCAATCATCATAAGATTTATAAGATAATTCTGTTAATGTCATAAATTTGAAGTGTGAACAGCTTTTGAATTTCTTACCAATTTTGCACATGCGTGCCCTTTTGTAAGAAAAGCCAATTTTCTCTTTTTTCTAGGACACCCAAATATTGTTGAACATGTACTGCAATGACCATATGAACTTCAATGACGGCACATGCTGCAGTGATGCTGAACCCATCACAAAGGTGCAGAAGGCCACAGCATTGGTATTTGCTATATGGTATGCATCCATTGTTTTGCTCACTCAATTATGCTTTATGGGAAAGGTTGCAAAAAATAATTCTAGTCAAAAAATGGTGTTTATCTACTTCAAATCGAACAGAGTTGATAGTAGTCCTTTGAAATGGTGATATTGTATCTGGTTTACAAGCAGTGAAAGAGCAAAAGTTACTTTATTTTAGTGCTCTTCTATGCAAGTTTGGAGGATATTTATAGAGTGATGTAAACTTTTTTCCACCCTAGGTAGACTACGATATTTGTATTTTGTCTTTTACTAAGATAAATTAAAACTTGAATTGGTTACTCTAACCATATCCTTAACTTCATTTCAGCATTGTACTTGCAGTTGTCATGGTCATTTACAAAAGAAAATCCAGGAAATCAGTAGCTAATGATGGTATGTAATTTTTTCCTTTAACCTTACATATGTGTGGTTGAACAAGCTAGATTTCAAGTACATAGACTTGGTTCAGTTAATGTTTTTGTGATTTTTTTTGTTGCTACAATTTGACACCCCCCCTCTCTTTTTATACTCTCCCTAATTTTACTGCTAACCCTCTTTTTCACCTGATTTTTAAATTTCTTATGCATTTTGCTCCTGCCAATCCTGCGTTAACAAATCTGTCTTTTATCAGTTCTTTTGTAGGTTAAAAGTTTAAGTGTAAATTACGTAAGAATCAGTTTATTATTGGGTTAGGTTATATCACTGTGGTTTTATGACTAATGTATATTAATTTTTAATTTTTCCATTAAAACTGTTGAATATTACTTCATCAATATGTTTTGCTTTATCCACCTGTTTACTCTTAATTGTTCTCTTCAATTAAAGAAATGTTATGAAGTGTTGAATAAGGTTAAGATATTTTTTTTACAACCTCTCTCTATAGTTAAGATATCTTTGTTATAACATTTTCCAAGATGTACTCACTGGAGGTTGTCAGTTAATTTATTAGTTACATCTTCTAATTTTAGCTCTTGATTCTGAAACTTCTGCTCCCACTACCCCTCTGGTCATGTCTGAAAGTGCCTCTAAAACACCACCTGGTATTGTATTGTTGATTTCTATATGATTCTGATTCATAGCTTCATTCCTATACGGGCATTCCATGATGAGTCTGTATGTGCATGTGCATCTTCAGTTTTTGTTTTTCTATAGTCAGTCTTGTATTACTACTGAAGAATGTCCATATGAAAGTCAGACTAACAATTTGAGAAAGCCATAGAATAAAAATGAAAATGTAAATCTTGCATGTTATTTTGAAATAATTGTTTTAATATAGCATCATCAGGTATACATGTATATTATATATAGGGGATCCTTGCGCTACAGTGGTTTCCAGGTACAACCTTTCATGGCTATGTCTCGTTTAAATTGTTGTTTTTATTTAACATTGTACAAATTTGTGCTGGAACAAGTTGTTAATCACGACTTATAGTAATGGCCTAGTTGGAAGTAAGTTTATATGTCCCAGGTAATGGCTTAAATAAGTCTGTGGCTGTAGTACTTTTAAGGTGTATTATAATATTGTATTAAGACTTACACCAAAATTCTGGCACATGGTAAGAGCTGAAGTCAAGGACCCCCTGTCATGTTACCTGTTAGATTGAAACACCTGTATTGGTTTCAAGAAGACTTGTTTATCCAGAAACACCTTCTTAGTGAACAGTGTCATCATGAAACCATCTTCAAAGTATGTTTATATTGCTTTACATTACTTTATTATTATTATTATTATTATTATTATTATTATATAGATATGAGTTGGATTTTATTTATGAATTTCATTCATATTATTTAAGATATGCATCGACACAATTTAGAATAACTTTAATGCAGAGATTCCCTCATGATAGGTAACAGAACATATCAATATGTAATGGTCGCTTGTCTTTGCATGCTGGTAGAGCTTCCATTATGACTGGTGTTTAACTGTCATTGGCAGTTATTATATATGCGTGTTTTTTCTTTTTCTGAACACTTTTTCGTCAATGTGTTATCATATATTCGTCAGCATAAGCCATAACCTGTCCATAGTTTTTATTAATCAAATTATTGTGTTATGCAACTTGTAAGTTACTTCAGGATTTGACATTCTATTGTTTGATAAAGCATTTAAAGCATTGTGCCATAAAGCATTTAAATTATTTACGAACATATGCTTCTTTTAGGAACTAATTTATATGGCACATTGAATCTAAGAAGTAAAAGATGGAGTTGCCTTTTTATGAAGTAAAAGCAAATAACTGTTTTTACATTTGAATCAGTAATAAAGGGGTTCATATTATTTTATTTCTCAAAACCAAATAATTTGATTTTGTTGACATTTGGTGAGAATTGTATGTTTCAGTGAAGGCAAAGAAAAACACTGTGTTTTTTGCTCATTAGTCAAAAATGTCAAGGTTGATAGGAATATTTTATCATTTTTATCCTCAGCAGCTGACGCAGACTCCACCACCCCTGGGTACTGTGATGTTATATATGAAGTGATGGTTGCCATGGCAAAGTTTGGGATCATAATGGCTTATAGCTTCCTATGTGACAGGTGGGGCTTGTTCATTAAAATTTCTTGATTATCTTGTTAATTAAAATAAGAAAGAAAGAAAGGAAGGAAATGAAATGTTGTGAATTTTATATTAAGATAATTGGTTAATGAGTATGGCATGATTTATTGTTTCTAGAATAATATGCTTATGGTCTTGACTTGGACCTCTATCACATATAATGAAGACATTGGAAATGATTAATTTTCATCATATACTGTCTCATTGAATTTTAGTTTGGCAAATGCCTTAAAGATAAGAAAAAATGTATGACTGTGAGCTGACTGTTAATTTTTTTCTCCATTTTTCAGGACCACATTTTTTATGAAAGAAAACAAGTTTTACACACACTCAAATTTCTTCCTGCCATTTGCATACATTATGATACTTGGATTTTTCTTCACTGAAGACACTAAACAGGTAAAGAAGTGTTGCTGGTTTGTTATAGAAGGAAATCATAGTACTGTCAAATTGTAATTTGATTGAAATTGATAATGAATTAAAAAATATATCAATTTTACAGTGATAATGAAAAAATGATGAATAATACAAAATCAAGACCAAATAATGAAAATAAGGTTTATATAAAGATGATGATGGAAAACGTTTAGATTATAAATTTTGATTGTTATTTATAGTGATAGTTAATAGATGATAGTTGAATAAAGTAAAATGAATTGATGGCAATTTCATATTGATATGATAAATAATAGATACAAATGGGTTATGAAAAAGTTGTTTTTTCCTCTTCAGACCTCAGTATTGCACAGGGACCAGACAGATGAATGGAAGGGCTGGATGCAGTTGGTCATTCTCATATATCACTACATGGGAGCCAGTAAAGTAAGACAGCATATATGAAATATCACTTTGTCATTAATGTGAAAAATGTGAATATATGCCTTTGCAAAATTAGCAGTTGGCACCTCTGATAATTTTTTTTTTACAAAATCGATAATGTATTAGAGAAAAGGTTGGATAACTATGTCCATCAAAATAATTGAACTGTATTGATGATGTACTTGGCAAGAATAGTTTAAATTTTCTGTTAGATTTGAGTATATTTAGCATTTGGTATGCTACAATGAGTCTAGAAATTTGTCCCAAAAAAACACACACGTTTGGCAATGCACTATTATGCCCCAGTTCTGCTTTTTAGTTTTGTTGGCTATTCTTATTATCATTGATATTACTTTTATACGGTAATGTGCCATGAATTTCGAACAGTAGAAAATAATTAAATTTTGGAAAAGATCGTTCTGGCCGAAATNAAGGAGCCAGAGAAACAAAGGAAGATTGATTTTTCCTGCAAAGTTTCAAAGAATTTTGACACGGACTTGATCCAGCTTAACCCTCCAAACTAACGGGGTGGCATGGGCAATTTTTACAAAATTTACAAACAATTAAACTTAGATATATTACAATTTTATCCTTTAATATAATTTTGGGAGGCATGCACCCGCATGTAAGCTGGGTGATGTCAGTAAGCCCCTAGTTAAATAAATATACCCTTATGAGCAAGGCTTTTCCCAGGGAACCGTCCAGCCATCATTTGGACGGTCGCTGACATCACCGGACGGCCTATATTTTCAAAGACGGCTAGTCGGCTTGCGACTTTTTTTAATGACGTCTTGGCTTGTCGGGACTGCCGTGGACGTTGTAAGAAATTTTCTTAGAGTAATTTGAGGTACCTAGCTTTAATGATGCGTCACAGATGAATGGTACTACTTTGTAGTGTACGCTGATATTCAGTCACGACGAAACTACTTCCTAAAGCTTACAAAACACAATAAAATGTTTCTATAAACTTTAAGATACTCATTCCACGCCGTATGCAGCAGTGACAAGCAGTGACCTTCATGCGGTACAAAACACTAAGCAAACTACAGGCCAATTTGTGAAAGGAGACACCTTCCGGACCTTCATACGCACAGCAACTGACAAAGCTGATTGACAAAAAGGAAAATTTCAAATTTTCAGCGAGAGATCGTTCGCAATCCGAGAGAGACCAGGAGGCAATTTTCATATTTGTTAAAGAGACTTCGTAAGCCAAAGGGCGAGACGAGAACGCAATTTTCGTATCGTCAGCGTCGCAATCCGAGTGAAACGAGAAAGCTCATACTCGTTCAGTGGCTTTCGTTTGCGGCAGATCGTCAGCCGGAGATCGTTCTCGATTGTTTTTAACCCTCCATCCCTCCCCATTGGAATTTATAATTTTTAAAAATATTTTTCATTTCATTTGTACATTTCAAGGGACTTCATTAGCGGAAATCGTCAGCGGGAGATCGTGAACGATCTGAGCGAGACAAGAAAGCAATAATGGTAATCTTTATTACAGCTCTTAATATTGCTCTTTTGTTCTGTTACTGAAGTCTCTACTGTTAACAATGCTATTGAGCGCCTCAGCAAAACTACCGATCGCTATCTCACACCGAATACTGCGGTAAAGAAACAACAGCCCGACATTACAACTTTTAATAGATTCTCCTGTTATCTGAATGAATGGATATGACGATGTTGTTTAGCGTCCTAAACTAACTGTACTGATCGTTATCTTGCACCTTGGGCCGCACACGTAGTACTCAGGTAAAGGTACGCTAGGGCAACATTGCCGACTGTTAGCGCTAGAATAGCCCGGTGGCCGATTTTAAGGTGTACGAAAATTCACGAAATCAAGATTGCGCAAAATTGCTTACTGGCCGAAATTCATGGTCCAGAAAAAACTCCAGACGGCCGATTTTAAGATCGTTTGAAATTCAAGAGCCGTTCGAAATTCATGGCACTTTACCGTAATTTGTTTTCTGTTAAGCAGAGAATAACTACACAGTTTAATTTACATATTTCTTCCAGGCCTTGCCAATATACATGCACATACGTGTTTTAGTGTCATCCTACCTCTTTATGACAGGCTTCGGACACTTTTTTTATTTCTGGAAGAAGGGTGATTATGGCCTGTTTAGACTGTGCCAGGTGAGACCTTACTCAAATTTCAATTAAACAATTACTGGTTGATAATTGAACAGCTTCTCATTATAATTTTAATTGGGCAAGGAGATCAGTCTGGTAACTTTGTAACTTGATAGAGGACAGTGCTTTTCAGTCTTAGGGCGACACGTGATGCACAGAAATAACAGTTTGCACACTAATATTATGCTAGTTTTACTAATTAAGCAAGATGTTTTCATTTTACTCGGCAAATGACAGCAAACATATGTATATACAGCAGCCTTTCTGTAAACTCCATTATTGATGTATATAGAGATGTTTATGTTAGATGGACATTAATTTCATTACTTAACTCAACAGAAGTTTTTGCATAATAAATGACATGTATTGTGTTTGGTAAATAAGATGAAATGAACATCCATAAAATCTGTTCGAAGATGAGATTTATTAGACAGTCAAATTGTTATTATTTGAGGCAGATTCATTGTTATTTTACAAGACAAAACTCAGACCAGAGAGACAGTAAATTTCCAGTATGACAGCTTGTTTGTTTGACCAATTTAATACAACACTGGCCTCTTGAGTTAAAGGCGATATGGATAATTTTACAGATCATTCAAAAGATTCATTGTTGGGTGAATGTGAATAATATCAAAACAATGTGAAGAGGATTATGGATGGTCAAATTCAAATTTCAATATTTTCAGCATTTTTCTCTTTGTTCATGGTAATAGCAACATTATTTAGATGTTTACAGTGCCTCGAGTTAGGGGAGTAAAAGAAAGGTTTAGCTGCTGAGTTCTAGGCTTTTGCTTTCAGTGTGGTCGCAGGTGCAGACACGGTCTCTTCTCCTGCAAAACAAGAAACAACAGTTTGCATCGTATCTGTGAAGTAAGTTAGTTTGTGCTTGGTTCACACTAGATGTAGACATGTCTTGGGTTTTGAATTTGGACAAGATTTTCAAATGTCAAAACTGCATGAACTGGACTACAGGAAAGTGCCTTTGTTAAAAGACAGAACATGTTTTGCTATTTTACCAATTTGGCTCCAGAATATTAGTTTCTTTGAAAAAAAACTACCACTTTTCTATGATTTATCAATGTTGAATTAATTCTTTAAGAGCACATACAACCTAAAACTTAATCAACCAAAGACGGCTTCAAAACTTACCTTTAGTTGACTTATCAGCTTGGCTATCTGATTAAATCTCCCATACGGCATCTCAGCAGCCAAAGTTTTGGTTGGCCAAGTCAGTGTAACATGTAGATTGTGGTACTACTGTTAGGCCTAGGCTATGCTGTAGGATCCAAATTTATGGGGACATGTAGAAGTATATATGTTCTTCCATGTTACCTGCAGCTTTGGGATTACAGTAGTACCACAGTGTGGACTGGTGAGGGATATTGTTGCCATAGAAACCTACCAAGCAATGGCTCAGTAACCAATTCACATGTTTTATTACAAACTAACTTGCTTCAGAGGCAGAGCATGCTTTGTTTCTTGTTGATGTGTTATGTATTTGTTTAAGTCTGTATTTTTGTACATTCAGGGTTTATGTAAGGGAGACCCTTGTTTGACACAGCATATGATAACCACTGTAAAAATTGACTTCTGTCTGAAGGGAAATTATATGAATAATGGAGATAAAGATGGATTCTTGATTTTGTCTACAATTCACCTGATCAAAACCCTGAATGTGCCCATGTGTGATATGTCATTTTGTTTGTGATTGCTTGAAACTCTGTCAGTCTTGATGAATTCTGATGTTCAGATTAATAAGTCAAGAGGGTATTTGTGGTAATTTAAAATTTTAAGAGCATCACTGAAATATTGTTAAATCAATAGTAGCTATACTGGTTTAGGTAAATGTTAACTGTTTCAATTCGCCATGTGTAGAAAAGGTTTGCATCATTTATGGTATGAAATACCTTTTTGGAAGATAACACACGTATATATATATATATAAGGTGAAACAGAATAGTATGATTGTTTAAATCATTTTGAATTTCAGGATTTCACTGCATTCAGCTTTAACAAGTCATGTGCTGTCCCATTCTTTGACCTTTGCTTTAGTTTTGCCCAAATATTTAAGCTCCCTATCCTTGCAATCTGTGTTAAACATTTTAAAATTTAATGTTGAATAGAAAATTAAACATTTCATGAAAAACTTCACTTTTTAGTTGTTATTTATCCAGAACACTGCTGGTTTGAATAATTTTCAAGAATCCACTTAATTTAACAGTGTGGAGCAGTAGGATTGTAGTAGGATGTAAGTATGCCATAGAACTTGAACCACAGGGAATCTCATCACTATTATTATTCCATTTCAGGTACTCTTCCGCATGAACCTACTAGTGGTGGTGCTATGTTTTGTGATGAATAGGCCATATCAGTTCTACTACTTCGTCCCCTTGGTCTCTTTCTGGTATATTGTTGTTTATATCACCATGGCGATATGGCCACAGGTAACAGAGGCCAAAACTGAAAGTAAGTGAATATGTTTTCCTACCAGCTGGTGAATAGAATCTTAGGTTTAATTTGGTATTTATTAAACAAACTTTCCTAAGATATTTTTCTTGTGACATTTTATTCATTTTATGAAAAATTTAACTTTCTGTTAAGTTGAAAACTGACTTGATTGAACTTATGCCCTTTTAAAATAATTTGAGAAACTTAAAGGACTGCCCTTGCCTAAGACATATGAATTGTCATACTTAAAAAAGTATTCAACTTCTCATTTTTAGGTCATAGAAGACACTATTTATACATGATATTAAAGTTTGTAGTCTTGGTAGCTGTGATATCCTTGCTTTATCTCTCAGAGGTAAGGTTACAAAGAGATTTCATTATATATGGGCTTAGCTCAGACTACTTAAATCGTATAGCCAGTTTGTAAAGTTGACTAAAATTCAACCTGGTCCATTTTATGAAATGTGTTTCAGTTCAGTTGTTCTTTGACAGACTGTAATTATTATTGTTGTTATCCAAAGGTTTGCATAATTGTATATTTAAAGAAAAGAGAGAGGCTTCCCGTTCTACACAATTAAAAAAAAATTGGTTAAAACTATCAGTTTTGCTGAAAGTATTTTGCTATGGATTGGAATATCTAAAAAGGGAGACATTGTTTAATTTTAACTTCTTGCAGATATAAAGATGTATTTCAGTCAAATGATGATTACTTTTTAGTCTTCTACCTTTATCTATTTTGCAGGTCTTCTTCGAGAAATTGTTCTTGTCTCGACCATTTAAGCCACTGTTTGTTCTATCAGATGACTCAATCCACGAGTGGAGGTTCAGATGGGAATTAGATCGTTTTGTGAGTGGTTGCCATAGTTACTTTATTGGACTTTACTGAAAGGAATAGTACTTTCTTTTTTGTCCTGAAATTCCCATCATCTTTTCAAATAGTCTGTTTTAATGTTTCTTTATGTTATTTTCAGTGATTTTTTGTCTAAAATTTCACAAACCTGTCACTTGAACTTTAAAAATTAAGCTTTAAAGCAAAATAAATTGTTTTTGGTAATCCAGAATTTGAAAACCTGAAAAATGATTATCACATAAGAAAAAATGTGTTTCAAATATGTTGATTTCATGTAACTTCTTTCAGAGTGTGACATATGGGATGATATTTGCTTTTGGTTACCTTGTTCTAAAAAAGATGGAACTTATAGATGACACCAACCATCAAACCTTGTTCTCACGGGGAGTTTGTTGGGTTGTTGTTTTACTATCACTCATAGGTTTAGCGGTGAGTTAAAAAAAATCTATTTATCCTAAAATGATGACGGCATAAGCATTAGTTGTACTTTTAAGTACAAACATCGAAATTTATTATTTCCCACTAATTCAAAATGTTGTCATGATTAATTTTGTAATATGATACTGCATTATTTAGCCCCTGCTAAAAGATTGTTTCAGTATTTGTTTAGAAATGTAGGATAGATAAAAAACATTATGTA